AGGAGGAGGAGGAGGAGGAGGGGGAGGAGGAGGAGGGGGAGGAGGGGGAGGAGGAGGAGGAGGAGGGGGAGGAGGAGGAGGAGGAGGACGAGGGGGAGGAGGATGTCCTGTTCAAATCGACCCGCCCTCCACCCGTGGAGCTGTGCCACACTTGAATTACACATGTGCTCGTCGCCGAGGCGAGAGGCCACATGTTCAAAAACGACCCGCCCTCCCTTCGTGAAACTGTTGCACATCTAAGCTTCGGAATCGTAGATGGTGCGGACGTCTCAAGCGAAACGCCAGGTTCGCCCTACCAACACGTCTGGGGGCTTGGGGCCCGAACAACCCTCTCTCGTGGTGCGACAGGCAGGAGTCATTCAGAAGGAAAAAGGATGGGGCGGAAGATGAGGAGGAGGAGAAGGAGGAGGAGGAAGAGGAGGAGGCGGAGGAGGAGGAGGAGGAGAAAGGGAGGAGGAAGAGGAGGAGGGGGAGGGGGAGGAGGAGGAGGAGGAGGATCAGGAGGAGGAGGAGGAGGATGAAGAACGAAGATGGGGAATCCCAAACATACCGGTACCGCTACTCCCTGGACCTCACAGGAGGCCCAAAAAGCCGAAAACGCAGCAAGGGTAACGATATTGGTGCCTTCTCCTTCCCCTGCGGCGAGGAGGAGGAGGAGGAGGAGGAGGAGGAGGAGGAGGAGGAGGAGGAGGAGAAAGTGGATGATGATGATGATGCTGCTGCTGCTGATGATGATGATGATGATGATGAGGATGATGAAGAGGAGGTGGGGGAAGGGAAGAGGAGTGCTCCGTGGCTGCACGCAGAGGGCGCCGGCGCGGACGGGCGACGCGAACTCACGCCGCCCGCGCTAATAGCCCGCCGGCGGGCTCTGGCGGCGTGCTTGGCACTCGCGCTGCCCGCCGTCGCCCGCCAGCGCAGCGCGCAGCCGCCCCTCTGCGGCCTCCGCGCGTGGGGTGCAGGCGACGAGGGGCGACTGGGTGAGAGAGGGCAGAGGCTAGGGCTTAACGGGACCTGGCCCAGGTACTGGCAGACGTGGAATTTAGGAACTATGAATCCTGGTGCATGGGGGGCCCTGTGTGCGGTGGGGTTGGAGACGCACACCAGGATGCCCCCGCAGGAGGACGGGGAGGTGGGGTGGGAGGGGCAGCAGGGGCAGGAGCAGGAGACGGAACCAGGGGAATTTGAGGAGGAGGAGGAAGAGAAGGAGGAGGAGGAGGAGGAGGAGGAGGAGGAGGAGGAGGATGAGGAGGAGGAGGAGGAAGAGGAGGAGGGAAGAAGAGGAAGAAGATGATGCGGATACGGAATCACAGAGCAAGAGAAGGGGAAGAGGATCGGGAAAGAGGACGGAGGAGGGGAAAGGAGGAGGAACAGGAGGAGCAGGAGGAAGGGGGAGGAAGAGGAAGGGGGGGAGTGAAGAGAGGAGGAAGGAGAGAGGAGGAGGAGGAGGAGGAGGAGGAGGAGGAGGAGCGAGGAGGAGGAGGAGGAGGGAGGAGAGGATCAGGAGGAGGAGGAGGAGGAGGAGGAGGAGGTGGAGGAGGAGGAGGAGGGGAGGCGGAGGAGGAGAAGGAGGAGGAGAAGAAGGAGGAGGAGGAGAGAGGAGGAGCAGGAGGAGGAGGAGGAGGGGAAGTGCAGGAGGAGGAGGAGGAGGAGGAGGAGGAGGAGGAGGAGGAGGAGGAGGAGGAGGAGGAGGAGGAGGGGAGGAGGAGAGGAGGAGGAGGAGGAGGAGGAGGAGGAGGAGGAGGAGGAGGAGGAGGAGGAACGAAGAAGGCATGAGGAGGAGGAGGAGGTAGGAGCAGGATGAGGAGGAAGAGGAGGAGGAGGCGGAGGAGGAGGAGGAGGCGAAGAGGAGGAGGAGGAAGGAGGAGGAGGAGGAGGCGGAGGAGGAGGAGGATGAAGGAGGAGGAGGAGGAGGAGGATGGGGAGGAACAAGGGGGGATGATGAGGAGGAAGTGGAGGGAGGAGGAGGAGGAGGAGGAGGAGAGGAGGAGGAGGAGGAGGAGGAGGTGGAAGAGGAGGAGGAGGAACACTAGGAGGAGCAACACACCTAACAGCAGGAGCAAGAGCAAGGGTACCAAAAGGGTGTGGGGGGTGAAGATAAGGAGGATGATGAGGAAACGCAGAAGGAGGAATGTTAATGAGGATGAGGAGGAGGAGGAAGAGGAAGAGGAGGAGGAGGAGGAGGAGGAGGAGGAGGAGGAGGAGGAGAGGAGGAGGAGGAGGAAGAGGAGAGGAAAAGGAGGAAAAGGAGGAGGAGGAGGAGGAGGAGGAGGAGGAGGAGGAGGAGGAGGAGGAGGAGGAAAGAGATCAGGAGGAGGAGGAGGAGGAGGAGGAGGAGGAGGAGGAGGAGAAGGAGGAGGAGGAGGAAGAGGGGAAAAAGGAGGAGGAGGAGGAGGAGGAAAAGGAGGAGGAGGAGGAGGAGGAGAGGAGGAGGAGGAGGAGGAGGAGGGGGGGAGGAGGAGGAGAGGAAGGGGATCAGGAGGACGAGGAGGAGGAGGAGGAGGAGGAGGAGGAGGAGGAGGAGGAGGAGGAGGAGGCGAGCCAGGACGCACCGCCACTGCTTGAGTGCGGGTGTACTGTACATCTCGACCCCAGCCGGGAGGCCCAGACGCGTGCCCCGGCTCTCCGGGAGCCCCGAGGGGCGGCGGAGGCGGGGAGGCGCCTCCGGGCCGGCCGCCGCGGCAGCCATGGCCCGCGCGCTCGCGCACCAGTTCCTGGCCGGGGAGGCTGGAGGTCTCCTAGCTGGGGCCCGATGCTCCTCCTCGATCCCTCCTCCTCCTCGAGGTGGAGGATCGAGGAGGAGGACGATCGAGGAGGAGGATCGAGGAGGAGGATCGAGGAGGACGAGGAGGAGGAGGAGGAGGAGGAGGAGGAGGAGGAGGAGGAGGAGGAGGAGGAGGAGGAGGATCGAGGAGGATCGAGGAGGAGGGATCGAGGAGGAGGATCGCGCCGCATCGGCGATGCATCGGCGACGCCGATCTTGGGAGAGACGGGCTCCGCATCGAGCCGCCTCGGCGATGCATCGGCGATGCGGCGCGATCCTCCGAACCCCCATCTACTCGGACCCCATCTAAGAGGCCTAGATAGACGTGGGACTCGGGTTAGGGGGATTCGAGCTGGCCAAACGGGGGCATCATAAAAATGACGCGGCCCAGCCCAACTAAAGGGGCCCCAGGACACACAAATAAATACACACAAATAAAAAGATTCCCCATATTTTCTGGGCTTCTGTCTTCCCCCCCACTTCCCATATTTTCCTATATTTCCTGGGGGTCGACGATTAATTGTGTCTGTGTGTTTTTTCCCCTCCTGACTAACGTCTGACGCGGCACTGCAGACACCCCACGAAAACGGGACCGGCAAAATTCAGGGCGGGCTCCTCGAAAAGCTCAGGCGGATACGAGCTCCGGCGTACTCGAGTCTTGCGTTTCTCCGATCCTGTAACGCGCGCGCGCGCCGCCCGCTGCCGCCCGCCGCCGCGCCACCCGCCGGGTGCACCTCCCTGCGAGCGCGCCCGCCCCTACGCCACAAACACGTATGCACAGACGCCCTCCGACGGACGCCGCGTGCGCCTTCGGGGAGGGCGGCGGAGTATACAAGGTCGTCGGCTCCCGGTGGTGACTTGCACACCCGCTCCCTCCCTTGAGGCCCAGGAGCAATCCATTGGAGGGTGTCTGTGTACAGTCGGGGCGCTGACCTAAGGAACGATAAATAAGGAACGAGGCCCCTTTTTCCCATAAGTTAAACTCAGATTTTCCATGGAAAACCTCAGGAAGACCCAAGGCACAGTGTAAAACAGCTGAGGAACACGGAGCCCCTCCCCAACGAGAAGGGTTCCTTCCTCAGCGCCCCGACTGTACGCAGATGGCGGATTCCGGAAACCCTGAACCCAAAACCGTTGTCATCTCTTGGGGCCGCATCTTTGAAGGGGCCCTGGGACACACAAATAAATACACACAAATAAAAAGATTCCCCATATTTTCCTATGTTTTCTGGGCTTCTGTCTTCCCCCCCACTTCCCATATTTTCCTATATTTTCTGGGAGTCGACGATCAATTGTGTCTGTGTGTTTTTTCCCCTCCTGAATTTCTTGGGGCCGCATCTTTTACTTCCTCCGCCTCCCGCCTGCCTCCCGCAGGCTGCCGCCGGCGGGGAGGCGGTCTCGCGCTACCTCCGCCGCCCTGCCGCCGAGGAAGAGATGGCAGCCCCATCAATTTAGAGGAAGACAGGGGGAAAACAAACCTACCTCGCTTTTGACCACCCTCGCTTCCAAGAGATACCAAGCGATGCCAAACTACGGCCTTTACTGGTCAGGCCGCTTGACGAGGAGGCGCGTGGTATGACTTGGTTTTGCTTGGAAGCGAAAGCGGGGTAGGCAATTCACGCTCTGAGAAGAACAAATGCCATTAACAGACCCTTTTGGCGCTCCGCGCGCAGTTCTTGGCTCTGCGCTGGACCCCCCTCCCTGGCGCGCGGCGCGCGCCAGGGGCAGCGCCGGAGGCGCCGCCAGGGGGGCCCCAGCGCGGATCCACGAAATCCGCGCGGAGCGCCAGAAGCTCCTGCTTCTGTTCGTGGCGTTTTTTTCTTTCTCCTTCTTCGGACTCCTTCGGTCCTCGAAGGCACAATTCGGGCGTTGGCAGAACTGGGTTTAGTGGAACCTGGTTTAGTGATTTGTACCGGGCGCGCCCCCCCGTCCCATTTCCACTCACGGGAACTGCCGTCACCCGAAAAACCACCAGCTACGGCAAACCTGGTTTCGTGAATCTGGCCAACTGAGGGGCCCCAAGGCCCTACCACTAACCGGGCCCCCTTGCCCGGGGTCCTGGCTATATGGCACAGGCCCTCCCTGGAACGCCCCCCGTCTCTTCGTGGCGGGGCCTCCGCCTCCTGGGGCCGCCGCTGCCCAGCAGCGGCCGCTGCCCTCCCTCCGCGTGCGTTCGCGCGGCCCGCGCGGGGGCCGCGCGGCGGGCGCGGCCGCCCGCGCGGGCGGCGGGGCGGCCTCAGGCGCGGCCCTTGCCGGCCGCGGGCGGCGCGGGCTGCTGCGCCGCGGGCTTCGGCTTGGGCGGTGGCGGCGGCAGGGGCCGCGCCACCTCGGCGGCCCGCTCGCTCCAGGCCCAGAGCTGGTCCTCGAAGGCCTCCGTGCACTCGGGGCCCTCCTTCGGGAGCGGCAAAGAGGGGGGTGTCGAAGAGGGGGGTGTGCAAATCATGACCTGCGGCATGTGCGCGGCCCAGCGGGCGGGCCAGGGACGTAATGAAACAAGAAGAGGCGCCATGAGATCTGGGGAAATATCATGGCCCACGCCATGATATCCACCCCCCCCTAAACATCACCCCCCTCTTTTCCGCCCCCGACTCTTGCCGGGGGGGTTGCGCCGCAAGGAGGGGGGCCGGGGAGAGGGCGGGCCAGCGCGCCGCGGCCCGCGGCGCGCGCGGACGAGGGGGGGGGGCGCCGGGGGGCGTGCCTGAAGTCCGCCGACCCTGTCGGCGTAGGTGGGGCGTCTTGCAGCTTGAGTCGTCGTCGTCGCCGTCGCCGCCCCCTTTTCCATGCGAGTCGTCGTCCTCGCCGTCGTCGTCGTCCTCGCCGTCGTCGTCGTCGTCGTCGTCGTCGTCGAAGTCGTCGTCGTCGTCCTCGTCGTCGTCGTCGTCGTCCTCGTCCTCGTCGTCGTCCTCCTCGTCGTCGTCGTCGTCGTCGTCGTCGCCACTCTCCCCCTTTCCTTGGGCCCTCCTCCTCAAGCGATCCAGCCCGACGGAAATCGAACAACGTCCCAATCAAGTCGAAGGGAAAGCCCCTTCCCTTTGATCCCTTTCCCGCCAACGGTGGGGGGGGGTTCCTGGGGGGTGTCGCCAGGGGTCCCTGTGGGGGGGTGTCGGGAGGGGGTCCTGTGGGGGGGAAGCTCCTGGCGGGGGGGTTCTGGCCGGAGGTCGTGAAGCCCCCACCCTCTCCGACCAAGACGGCTCAAGAGAGCCCCAGAGAGCCGCAATAAGAGGGAACACCAATCGAGTCGAAGGGAAGGCCCTTCCCTTTGATCCCCTTCCCCGCCGGGAGGGGGTCGTTCCCGGAGTGGGTTCGTCGGGAGGAGCCTGGGGGGGTGTCCTGGGAGGAGGTTCCAGAGAGGGGTCGTGGGGGTCGTGAGTCGTCGTCGTCGTCGTCGTCGTCGTCGTCGTCGTCGTCGTCGTCGTCGTCGTCGTCGTCGTCCCCCTTCAGGGTCGGCGGCACCGGCCGTAAGGCCTTCGTAGTAGGAAGAGGGGGCCATGCTATCTAAGAGATATCGTGGCCCCGGCAGTCATATCCCCCCCTAGTCCCCATCCCCTTCTTGACGCCGCCCACGATCCTGGACCCAGAGCTTCCCCCACGAGAACCACTCATAATCGAGGAAGAGCTCCGACACGGTGGTGTGCCTGATGCGGAAGTCCACCATGTCCCCCAGCACGGGCAAATGCCTCCTGCCGTACCACCATGTCCACAGAGGGGGCAAGAAATATGAGCCCACAACGTCTGGCTCTGGGCGTCCGTGCACGTATGCCGCCTCGACGAATCGCCTTCCGCCCTCCTCTGTCGGCGCGTGCCACCTCTTCAAGTTCGGGTCCTTCCAAGAACCAGAACTCGGGCTCTTGTAGCACTCCCAATCGGGCCCCTTGCAATTCTCATCCCGGGCCTTCACCATGTTCGACTGTACATAACCTGGGTCGTGGATGACAACGGTGGCGTTCTTAAACTGCCCCCGGCGCTTCCTGAGGGCCCTTCCAAAACACAAATTAGCCAATTTCGACTCGTGGTATGCCCACCAAGCGGTGTCCCGATTAGCCTCCCACCTGAAACGCTGTGCAGGGTCAAGCATGATACGATCGAATCTGGCATGCCACATGCTGTGGCTCACCATGACTACGATTTTGGCCCCCTGAGCGAGCTTGGGTGCCAGATGGTGCAGCAGAAGGAAATGGCCGAGATGGTTCGTGGCCATGAGCTTGTCGTGACCGCTTTTGGCCTTAAAATCAGATGCCGGCCTCTTCCACAGCTTCCTCCTCTCCTCCTCGGTGAGGTAGGCGATCCTGTACGCCCTGGCGGCGTTGAGGAGCACCAGGTTCAGGGGCGTTGTTGGGAGGCTCGCCTTGATGTCGACGACGAGTCGCCGCACCTCGTCGAAGTCGCCCAGGTCGGCGTGCACCGGCGTGGCGAGGCCGTAGCCACCGACGCCAAATCTGCGCACGACGCTGGCCGCGTCCGCCGTTCTCTTCTGGTCCGAGCCGTGCACCAGCACGTGGGCCCCGAGCATGCAGAGCTCCTTGGCGGCCTCCAGGCCGATGCCGGAGGAGCTGCCTTTGCCAGGGCCGAGGGGTCTGCGATGGCGGGAAAGTGGGTGTGGACAGAACCCCCTTTAGCAAAACGCCCTTTAGCGCAGCCTGCCAGGGCCATTCCACGTGCGCACGGCACCGCATTCCGAGTGCACCCCAGCAGGGAAGGTACTCGACGTCGAAAAATATCCGAATGTATTAGGCGATGCGCACGTCGATTAGCGAAACCGACTGCGGACTGTACCAGTGCACTCAAGTGCCAATGTCGAGAGAGCCCGTGCAGATCACTCGGCGCCAGAACCCCGCTCGGCCGTCAACTGCAACACCTCGGTGGCGCGGGAGCTCGTTCGGCCGCAGGATGAGCTCGAATCCAGGTCTGCTCGGCGGCCGAACGTGCTCAGGCGCCGAATCGGCTCAGAAGGGGTCCCCGAGGTCGCATAGATTTCGCACCGCGGGTTGTTCCTGTGGGCCCCGGGGCTCGAAAATGGAAGTCGGAGGCCCAGCCTCAGAACCTGCCGCCCTGATGTTCTGCTCAGGGCATCCGAGGTGTGGGCTCCACCGGGAGGAGGAATGGAACAACTCTTCGGTGTGCAGATCACTATAGCCCTGCCTGTCACCAGCGCGCCCTGCTTCCGCAAATTGATCGGCACGGAGAAGTCCCGGCTGGGCCGCAGGGAGTACTCGTCGACGAGGCCGCCCAGCAGGGCGCAGCACGCCGCGCCGACCGCGAGGAACACGAAGCAGCAAGGGCAGCAGCAGCCGCCGCCGCCGCCTGCGCCCGACATGGATGAGGCCTGCGCCAGCCCAAGCGACGACTCGAGTCGGCGGCGAGCTGGGGGGGAAAAGTGAGAAGGGGCGGGCCTTCTCAGAAGGCTCGGGAGCCCCTGGGCCTTCTGAGAAGGCCTTCTCCTTTTCCTTCTCACTTACCTCGGCTACACGCAAGAATGACCCTAAACTTAAGTCGGGCCTGTCCCCCTACAGGGGGGATTTTCGACGAAAAATAATACCCCCCAAATACCCCCCAAAGGTAAAAAAATAGTGCAAACATGGTCCCCAGACTATCTTTGGATTATGTTTTGAATACTTCTGGGGTATCTTCTATTTTTCGTCGAAAATCTCCCTGTAGGCGGACAGGCCCGACTTTACCCTAAACAAGAGTGACCCTCGGTGCGCGGCTTCCGGAGAGGGCGCGAGGGGGCCGAGCCCGAGCGCGCAAACCGATGCCATCGCCTCGCACTCAGCGGTCTGAGGGCCTGGGGTGTGCCCCGCACGGAAGGCTACTCTGCCGGGATGGGCGCGGGGTTTGCTAAGGTTAAGTCGGGCCTGTCCCCCTACAGGGGAATTTTCGACGAAAAATATAAATGCCCCAACAATAATCAAACCATAGTCCAAAAATAGTCTGGGGACTATGTTTGGAGTGTTTTTGACCTTTTTGGTGCATTTTGGGTATCTTTTATTTTTCGTCGAAAATCCCCCTGTAGGGGGACAGGCCCGATTTAATGCTAAGGGGATGGGGAGGCATCGGTGGACCCCAAAAGGGTTATGCCTGACCTGACCTTGCGTATAAGTGGGTTACACATGCCCCAAGTGGTTTGGGGGAGATCAGACAAATCCGCTAAGTAGGCGGAGCCCACTTAGTCTGAATCGTTATCCTCCCAAGCCCCCTGGGGCATCAGCAACCCACTAATAAGCTAGGTTAGGCCAGGTATAACTCCCTTTGGCGTCCACTGCTAACCCCCTATCCCCTCAGCAACCCTGGCGCCCATCCCAGTGGCGAAGGGTCACTCTTACGTGTAGTCGATTCCCCCCCCCTTCGCAGGAGGAGGAAGAGAAGGAGGAGGAGGAGGAGGAGGAGGAGGAGGAGGAGGAGGAGGAGGAGGAGGAGAAGGAGTAGTT